GATACCAGCTGCCTCGTTGGATCCATCTAGGGGCCTCATACCTGCATCTTCCATGTTTGCTAGTTGATGTGATGTAATAGTCTACAGTAGCCAGATGAATATACAACGTCAGGCAAGCAGACCTCCTTTGTTCATTTTCTTAATGTAAATCGAATGCACTGCCAGATGTATTACATATTGAGTGTATATCTGGCATGGGGTACACAGTTTACCAGCTTAGATGTTGATCTTGCCAAAGACAGAGTTGCCAAGGTTTAGTTCCACTGAAATCCCATAAACTGAACCCACAGGGCACTTACATGACATTCCAGATTTCAGCCACTATTTGGTGTATGTTTTCTGAATTTGTACAGCCCCAAATAACCGAGGGTGCTCTGGGGACCTCTAAGGCAGTCCCAGCACAATCCAGTGTCTAAAAGAAACACAATGTTGGCTCCCAAAGCTTTAAAGTAATGTAAATATTTACTATACCACACAACTCCAGCCAAACTTAGAAAGCTTCCTTCCTTCCTTCCGTTTCCTTTGATTGTCAAAGAAGTTTTTGAAAACCGCTTCTTCTCCCATCATTCTCAGCAAACTAACACAGGAACATAAAAGTAAATGCTGCATGTTCTCACTCATAATTGGGACACATGGACACAGTGGGGGGAACATCACACACTGGGGGCTGTCAGGGAGTGGGGGGCAAGAGGAGGGAAAACATTAAGACAAATACCTAATGCATGCGGGGCTTAAAACCTAGATGATTTGTTGATGGGTGCAGCAAACCACCATGGTACATGTATACCTATGTAACAAACCTGCACGTTCTGCACATGTATCCCGGAACTTAAAATAAAAAGAGAAAACCCCTCCTTCTCTCCAGCTGCCCTCCTCCACAGCCCCAAGTTGCCTTTCTGAAACTTTTTCCTCTCCCCAGCCCCGCTCTCCTGCTTTCCCCAGATTACTTCCGTGCCCTTTCTGAGGTGAGAGTAATTCTACCTGTCTCATCTCACATCTATTTTCTCTTCACCCATTACCCAGATGCACACAATAGAGGCTGAAGAACCGAGAAGTTTTAACCAAAACAAACTTCCTGAGAGATTAGGGCAGAGGAACGGCTGGAAATATTAGATATCGGTATTGATCCCTGTCAGAACTGAAAACAAAGGAAGAGAGCGCAGACAAATGTGCTGCAGGAAATTCTGTGTGGAAGTGACAAAACTTCTTAGTTTCCCCGAGGGCGAAGCTGTCTTGAATACTTTAGGATTCCCACGGGAAGGAAACAACAGTGTTTGGCCAGAAGATGGCACTCTTTTAAAACAAACTGGGGCAGCCCCTCGCCCAGGGCTTGGGAGATAATCATAGTTGATAACTCCAAGTACAGAGAAGGGCTGGGCAGACAGAGGAACAGTAAAAGACCAATGGGGTGAACTATTGTCAATGGGACAAATAGGACTTAACAGTCAGCAATTTTTACTTGCACATGTGGTTTTCATTACCATTTAGTCATGCCGTTTCTACTTTTTACTTCCTGTCTCACTATTTGGTGTCCTTACTCTCTTGCCACACAGTGGTGCTTATAAAGGCCTGAGGTTTCTGGAAACTTCCTCTTAAGTCCTGGTTCCCCTGCATTTATAGCATCCAATGCTTTTCTTTCTTTCTTTCTTTTTTTTTTTTTTGAGACAGAATCTCACTCTGTCACCCAGGCTGGAGTGCAGTGGCGCAATCTCAGCCCACTGCAACCTCCGCCTCCCAGGTTCAAATGATTCTCCTGCCTCAGCCTCCTGAGTAGCTGGGACTACAGGCACGCACCATCACATCTAGCTAATTTTTGTATTTTTAGTAGAAACAGTTTCACCATGTTGGTCAGGCTGGTCTCGAACTCCTGATCTCATGATCTGCCCACCTCAGCCTCCCAAAGTGCTGGGATTACAGGTTTGAGCCACCGTGCCCAGCCCTGATGCTCTTCTGTAATAGTACCGACTAGAGCCACAATTAATGCGATCCACAGCATCTACCATCAACCGTGTGCTCCATGAGGTGGGCTGTGTCTTGTACACTGCTGAATCACAGCATGGCGCCTACCTACCACATAGTAGGTGCTCAGTTAAGTATGTGTTGAATGATTGTAAGAAACTCAGGGCAATAACTGCTCACAAAACTTAAGCAGTGCTTCCTGTCTGCTAGTCTAAGAAGTCAATGGAGAATAGCTGATACCTATTGAGTGCTTGCTGCGTTAAGACCTTACCTGCATCATCTCACTTTTCCCATCAATTCCATAAGACAGGTACTGCAAGTCATAGTAGCTATCTAGGGGCATGTAAAAAGTAAATGATACAAGGTGCAGGGGCGCCCTATATCAGTCCAGCAAGATTCTCATTACTGTGCTGCTTTGTGGAACTTTAAGCACCCTACCCCCCGCCAATCTTTGTGTCTTTTTTTCTGTCCGTACCCCCCATTCCCCAACACACACCCACATGTCTCTCCTCCCCTGTATTTCACCCATAGACATCAGTGGTTTGTGGAAAATATATGAGGCCCGTTAATAGGAAAACCTGGTTCCCATCGAGGCATTATTGTTTGGAGTGTAAATAAATAACAGCCTTTTATGGATCACATGTGCATTAAAGTGGGGTCTCACTTGAAGGGCCCACAGCCCACCTTGAATGAACAGGAAGTTTCCATAAACCAACTTTTTCACATGAGATTTCCAAAGCTACTTTTCAGAAACTTGGCTCCAGGCTGAGATAACCAGTTCACACCAACTGTCACTTTAAGATCTGCTTTTGCCTTCAAACTCTGAAAAGAATGGCGTTGATCAAGGAAGAGAGCCAAGCCCTGGGCTCCGATAGAGGAAAGAACCGTTACTATTACCTAGTACCATCCTTTGTTTTCATCCTCTTCCTCTAATGTCTCAGTCAGCTTCCTTAGGCCACAGGACATGCCTTGCATGTTTACCAGCACCTCAGTGTAAGCAAGGACTATAGTTTGAAAAAATTAATACGCTCAATGTTAACGTCCTGTTTGCTGAAATTATAGCACAGAATAAATGTTAACAGAAGACCAGTGATTCTATCTCACTGCAAATACGCAGTTTTTCCAATAAAGTCTGACGCCAGTCTCATCAATTGTGACATTGCCATAGCAGGAGATAAACATTGCCATGGTATGCTGGACTGGGGGAGGGTAATTTCCTAAGGGAGATTTCTGGTCTAAAAAGACGTTTTTTCTGTCTTTGTTTTTCTTGTCTTTTTGCCCTTCCAACCCAGGCCTCTGTTTTTCACTGTAGGTAGTTTTACGATATGGTTGCTGGTCTTTGTGCTTGTTTCTCAGAAAATCAAAGACATCCAAAAAGAATTTGTCATTTAAGTGACGCAAAACCAAACTTTGCACTTCTGTATCAAGGACTTGAAGACAACTTGGACATGTGAACCAAGCCTTCAAATAAATGTGTTTTATTTTTATTTTTTTGAGATTGAGTTTTTTTCTTGTTGCCTAGGCTGGAATGCAATGGCACGATCTTGGCTTACTATAACCTCCATCTCCTGGTTCAAGTGATTCTCCTGCCTCAGCCTCCAAGTAGCTGGGATTACAGGCATGCACCACCACACTGGGCTAATTTTTGTATTTTTAGTAGAGATGTGATTTTGCCATGTTGGTTATGCTGGTCTCAAACTCCTGACCTCATGATCTGCCCGCCACGGTCTCCCAAAGTCCTAGGATTACAGGTGTAAGCCACCGCTCCTGGCTCAAATGTGTTTTATTTGGTCAGCAATCTTTTCAAGGAATTTGAATATAAATGCTTTTTAGAAGCGTAAATACTTCCTAAGTCAGCCAGTCCTCAATAGTCCCTAATGTCTCATGTCTGCTGCTGTTGACTTTTAAGCTGCCCAACTCCTTAAGACATTGGATTTAGGAATTGTCTTTATAAATGGTTATTTCCCCCTTTGATCTTTCTGTTAGTTTTCTGCAGATGGGGCTCCTTCATTGAGACAGAGATTGAATCATTTCTAGGGCTTTTTTTAATTCTGATTTTTTTTCTTTTATATAAATAGTGCAGAAATACAACCTTCTAAAAGAAGTTACCTTACCTAACAGGGATAGGTTCACAGAGAGAGCTCCATTCTATCTATAAAGCCGAAGCTCAAGTCCACAATGTCTTTTACATGACAAGGCAACTCCCTATTTTCTATGACAGTAAAGTAGATAATGCAGTGCTCTGCCCTGGATCTGAAAGGAATACAGGCTGGTCAAAGTTCACAGCTACAATTCCTCACTAGGAACTGTCCTTGAACCGGCCTCACCCAGGGTAGCACCCTGCCTCAGGGGGAGGCTGATGAAGGGTCACAGAGTCCAGACCTCCTGTTCTCAATGAGGGACAATTCTGAAGGGTCTTCCTAGCTCATTAGAATCTGTAGTTGCAACTGCATTGTAGGTCTCCTCTCCTGCCCAATCCTGCCTTCCTCACCCTCTTAGGTGTATTTCCTAAGGACTGTCTCCAATAAACTTTTTGCCTTGACTCTGTATCTTAGAGTCTGTTTCCAGAGGACCCAATCTAGGACAAGGAGGGAACCAGGGCACAGAAAGACTGAATTTTTTGCCCCTGCCATACCAATAGGCAGAAATAGATATAGTACTGGCAACAAAATGCATAGATCACATTATGCTGCCATGAAAAGAATGCTTAGAAGCCATCTAATGCAATCCAACCTTTTCCAGATGTGAAGACCGAGAGAACCAAAGTTACTTGCTCAACGTATCATAAGCTAATTAGGTGAGAAAACCTGGACCAGAATGCACATCTGCGGCCCAATCAGAATTTCAGCATTTAATCAGTTCCCAGAAAACCTCAGTAACACATGAGAGTCAAACTCAACGTTGAGAATTTGTAGTTGATATCAAGAATGATTTCCTAAGTCCATCTTCCATGGAAAATGCCTCATTGTGACCTCCTGCTATAAGAAGCCACTGAACTTTCTGCATTGAGCTATCAACCGAATACAGGAGTCAAGTCTGTATTGGGGATGGTATTACACTTTATTAACAAACAAAACAGAGCCATACAGGCAAAATCTTACTTCAGTGGCAAAGCACACACACACAGGTATACCCCAACATGTAGCACTGGGGCAAGCTTCGGACATGGAACATTAGGCATCAAGTTCACAATCAGACTAAACATTGTTCACAATCCTTCAATCCATACTCTTCAGTGGAATATGAGGTCTTATTTAACAGTTAACTGTGACAGACAGATAAAGTTTTAAAATCTAATTCTTGGCCTAACTATGGAGTGGGGCCAACTCAGCCTTCAAAACTGTGAAGTAGATGCGTTAGCAGGGCCAAGATCTATCAGCCTCTAAAAGTGACTTTCACATCTCTGGTTCAGAGACAAGGCTTATGGTATCTTCATGTTGGATGAACTCACATATGGTGAGAGTTCTCAGCTCCAATTTCTTGTCTGGGCATATCTGGACTGGAATTCATTTTGATACCCAATCCGTAGATTAATAGGGTTAATCTAATTAGAATAAATCAAATGGTTTTCCAAAAAGTTGAAAAGGGTAAATCACATACTTATGAGTTCTTCAGCACTGAAGACCTTAAATATGTTAGCAAGCTGAGTACTGTTCAAACTGTTGCCAGTTAAGGAGTTTCAATCAGCATTTCCCGAAAGGTGTGTCAGGACTGAGTTAATCAGTAAATTAATAGAAACAACTGTAATATATTAGGGAAAAGATTTCTCAAAGCAGTTTGATAGAATATGTGGCAACTCCTTATGTACTGGAGCACATCCAATACATTCTCAAAACTCCTAAATTACCTGAAATTCAAGGTAAAGGGCAGCAGAAAACTCCAGCCAGCTCTTGGGATAGGCAAAACTTGGAAGATTTATGTGCTCACACCAGGGTCCAGCAACTTAGGTTTGAATTCATAAGGTTAAATGATATAATAAACTTGGGTTGGCTGGATACCCCTGGCAATTGTTAATTTCCCTTAAATAAATATACATTGATACCTTTTAAAAGGAAGTATTTTATGGTTAAAACCTTGGGAAAGGGCTTTTAAAAATCGGAGTTTTTAATATGGGAAAACAAGAGGTGGGTACCCTTCTGGGCTGACATTACTCCTAAGATAGAGAACTTAGTCTTCACGTATAAAATGACTCAATTAAATGTCTTTTATAAAACTTAACAACTAAAGCAAGTGAGCTTTCTTTAAGAAAATTAGAGCCCTAATTTCTTTTCCATTTGACAGTCTCAACAAATAACAGTCAAATTTATCATGTGTATTTCAGAACTTATTTAAAAGAAATTGGCATGCTATGCTAATATTTATGCAGAGGTAACCATGTTGAAGACATGTGTAAGCTGAGAGGTGTGTCTAATTCTACGGATGCAGAAAAAAAGAAAAAAAAACATATGTCCCTAGAGGCCTTCAGCCAGCCAGGGGGCACCTGAAGAAAAGAAAACTGCTGCTTTCCTGGAGTTGAAATAGAATGTTATGACTGGCAAGGATTACTTGGTGTCTAGCTGCCTTCCAGCCGGAAGAGAAGATGCCAATTGCAGTTGGTCTCACAGAGCTAAGTGTGGAGATGTCCGGGGGACAGTCCTGCCGCTATTTGCCTCTACTCAACGGGGAAAGCTGCATGTAAGTCACAGCAAGTCAGTTTCAACATTCTCCCTCAGTTAATACTCTCCTCCATAAGAAGTTAAAGAGGAAAAGCATACAAATAAGTGAGCACTGAGACTAGATGTCTAGAAAAGTCAGAGGAATTAGAAGTGGTCAGGAGATCCCTGAGGCAGCAGCCCACAAAGATGTCCCTATTCTGGTCTGAGGATCTGCATGCCGCTACCCCCAACACTGCTTTCCTTTACTATTTCCTGATCCAAAGTGGAGGCTGCTTTCTCCAGGAGGCTGTGAGCCTCTAGGCTCTGTAATGACACTTCACCATAGCCTAAGGGAAGGAAAAGGACAGTCACAGGCTGGGCCTTCACCTACTCCACCCCTACAGAGAGAAAGTCAAATGCTTTGTTTCTGAAATCATCAGGCATTTTGCATTGAAGAGAATAAAAACAGGACACAGAAATTGTTTCCGATGAGCAAATCACCTTTAACTTTTTGAATTTAAGTGATCACAAGGCTTATTCTATCAATTAACATGAGTTGGTTTACACAAACATATAAGATGGAGCTTGATCTTACTGAAATTAATTAGGTGATTCTTTGAGTTGTTTAACAATGATTGGAACTAAGCCGAAGATAGTTAGAGTGCACTTAAAAACGGCCCAATGACACAGCCTTTAAATTTGTCACTATTTTCAATACCACCATTGAGTGGTATTGAAAACTGGTGAGCAGGTATATGCATGAAACTTCAAAACCGTGGCAGTAGCTTGTATTTGTACATAGTAAACCCTAAGGCAGTTACTGATGAGGTAAATCCAATGATTTTCATGAGGCCAGGAACAGATGGCAGGTTTCTCTCCCAAAAGGTGTGGGTGATTTCTACTGCTGGAACATCCTAGATGAAGGAACACAGATCATGAGGAAAAAACTCATGCTGACAAGGAGGAACAAAACACATCTGTAACCCCCATGCATGGAGATCCCTTGGATAGTTGCATCTATAATAAATCAGAGGCTACAAGAAGGGAGATGTGAGTTCTATGTTCCATGATCGGTCTAAGGAGAGATGGTGTCCAGAGCTACCAAACTTACCTTTGATTCAGGTTCTTGTACCCAGATGTCTTTCTTGGCCACCTTCCCAAGTGCATGCAAAACCTGAAAGAAAGTGGCCACGGTATTATGAAAAGAGGTTGTACAGTTTCTACAGATTCAAGGCCCTGCTAGCCACAGATGAGCCCCATGAGTGAGGGGTAGAGAAATGGACATATAGATTCTATCAGTGTCAAGACTAGCAAGACCAGATGCCAAAAATGTCACCATGACTGAGGAAGGAGAGAGTCTCAGCTTCCCGGCTTACCTCCCTGGCTGCTCGTTCTCCAGCCTCAACTGCCCCTTCCATGTAGCCGCTCCACTGTGTGGCAGTCTCCGTGCCAGCAAAAAAAATCTTATCCACGGGTTGACGAATCACCCTTCAAGGGAACCAAGAGGTCACACAGAGTTACTTGGGAAGATGGGCAAGGTAAATGAGCCAACCACTGTCCTCGTTTAGTTTGTAGAAGGCACAGAAATTCAGACTGTTTAAAAAAACACCTGTATGCCTCAGCCCAAGGTGAAAGGCCGCTTTTTGCTTTCTGGGTCTGCATAGAAGATCTGAACTTTCAAGGCAGGGAGAATCAGGCTGTCAGATCATCAATCTCTAAAAGTGATGTTGACCTTTTCCAAGCCAGCCAGAGCTGGAATATAAGACCATGCATTCAATCCCCAAATCACATTTCTTTGCTATGTTTTCTGCTGGTAGTCCATTCTGCTCCCTATCCTGTCTTTCTCAGGGGAGGGGGCTCTCTTTTTGAGAACAGCCACAGACCCAGCTTTGCAGGCATTCCCAGTGTGTGAGGAGGAACTGCAGTGGCAAGTGGGAAGACAGGGAGGTTAACTGTCATTCCTGGCAAAGGAGAGACCTGAGAGATTATATGGGTATGTCTCTTTAAGAAAACACTGCCTCTGTACAGTTAGCTTCTCTGAACTTCTCTAGGGGCAGGCTGGGGGCAACAAAATGGGTCTCCTCTTACAAGGAGGTCCTGCCAAAGAGAACCAAAGAAGGGCTGGACTCAATGGACAGCTCTCCCCTCCAGCTTTCTTGGCTTTGACTCCTGCCATGTCCACAGCTAGTTTCATGAACTCTCCCAAGCTGCACATCTTGCCCTCATCCTGATGGCCTTCACCTCTACCCACTGGCACTCCTTAGCTATTCCTTATCTTTGTCCTGTCTTCTAGACTTCTACTTTGATACCAGAACAAATCCAGTTCCTCAATCCTGCCATTGTTAACAAAGGCGATTTGATTCACTTAAGAAAAAAAAGACCAAAGCTCCTGTAGGAAAAAGGTTAACAAATACTTCTTCCTTCTCGGTGGACAAACGTGATCTTGTGTTAACTTTCTAGCTCTGTTGCTCTGGAAACCAGATGAAGGTGTAATGCCACCTGTGGAGGCAACATCACTTATGCTAAAAGTGCCTCTCCACGCCACCCACGTTAGCAAACCATGCAAGCTGGGAAGACTGAATGATTTGTAAATACCTGGTACAAGGCTATCACTTTGGGTTTCCCTGAGTTTGGTGTCTCTTGTAACTGAGCAAGTCTTATAAATGAACAAGTTACTAGACACTATGCTATGAAGCATAGAGATAATGGTTCCCATGAAGCAAGGGGCTTCTAGGTCAAGGCGGACTTCCCCACCCCACGTGGATCTCATTTTCTCACACCTCAACTGTACAGTGAGGATTCTTCTCCTGAAGAGGACTGTCTCATGCTGCTCTGTTGGCAAGACAGATGTGTTAGATAAACACATCCAATATCCTTCTGTGTTGACTGGTGCCAAGGAGCCTAAGGCAGTCATGTGAGACTAAATGTCAAGCAGAGCTCAAGAAGGCCCTTTGGAGGACACTGCAGCTTCCTTCATTCTCACAAGCACTGTTCACATCTGAAATCCTCCCCAGTGTTCTGTTATTGTTTTATATGCTGACAGTTCTTTTTCTACGTACTGACATCCTTATTTTTCTATGGACACCCAGAAATATACAAGCGTTAACTATGACTTAAGAAACGGGGATTTTGACAACTATTTCTAGAATTCCCACTGAACTCTGTGTTTCCTTTCAAATTTGGCACAGGTCTTGGATTAACTGGTGTAGTGCTTGGGTCATACCTTCCATACTGAGTCATGATCCCAGGCGGAAAATAGGCCGTGTAGCAGCCCCCAGAGTACTGCTCCTCACACCAGTTCTTCTCTTCATAATGCACTGGCTGTAGTTCAGTGAGGGAGAAAATGCCAAAGAGAAAACAAAGCTGAAATGCTGCAAGCCCACAATATCGTTGCTTTACTTTAACCAAAAACTTACATTAAGAAAATAAAGAAGATCCTGTTTCTCTAACTCATTTAAGGGGGAGCATGATAGTACCAAATAATGGCCTTTTGTGAAGTTCCATGTGACAAAACACGTATACTTTGGTCTTCTCATTTTCTTGATTAGGAAAGACATGAAGTATTCCAGTATCTGGGAGGAAGGGGTAGCCATCCCTCCATGCGGATTCTGAAGTCTTTAGAGCTAAGTGTATAGGAAACCCCATTAACGATTCGGCTGCTCAAATCTCTGGAGTCTCTAATAACAGGTTTACTTCCCCATCTACCAGACATTATTGCTGAGAAAAGGGTGGGAGGGAGGAGGTAGAAGACTAACAAATGTCTAAAAAAGGCTTTTTTCCCAACCAGCTTCTCTAAGCTGGACACGTGAATGATGGGAATTCCACCAAAAAGGGGCAATTAATATGAAAGATGTTTCCTAAGGGACATGTGGGAACCTTCTCTAATTTCACTGGAACATTCAGAAAGTTTTATTATTTGAACAGTTCAGAGATAAACTCCTGAAAGAGCCCCCAGCTATTGGTATTTTTTGTTTCAAAAGATGTAATTTCATTCTCCTAATTGCTTTCAGTGGTGGACTGCAAGCACTGATGTTCCTAAATGAGTTGTGAATTGAGTTCACACATGGAAAAATAAATTAGTATGACATTGACCTGGGCAGAGATTCTAGATTCAGTCTATCTTGTCAAGTACATACTACTTTGCCTTCACCAACAAATGATGCCATATCTGGAATTTAATCGTGCAGCAGGTAAGTGACACTGGCGGGGGGCAGGACCACTGTTCTGGGAACCCATCTCACCCATTCTTGACATAATGCCTTCAGCTCTAGACTCTGATTACAATTGGCTGCCAGTTATCTAGTGAACATTTAAATAGCCCAAAGGAGTTGCTGTCTCAGAAAATCCAGGCACCTCACACCAGCTTTTAATGACCTTTTGTGACTGCTGAAGCTTATCTTCCAAGTTAAGCATATCCCTTTATACTCTCCTTCATAAGACTGTCAAAAAATCAGCATCTGCTTCGCTTTACCACTTATACTAAACAGAGAAGAACCTGCTAGGGATTAAAGCTGGGAGTTTCTTACATCTAAAGCTTCTGGGATCCTAGCACTTTCGCATAGAGCTCACAGATTTTCTTCTTCCTATAAAAAAGAACCAAAAAAAAAAAAGTTAGGGAAGGAGTAGCTGATGGGTATAGAATAAATCCAGTAATTTCCAGGGCTTTTGCTTATCAGTCAGATTTGTTACAGAAAAGTTCAAATCAATGGCCTTCTGTAACTGCACAAATGAACAGTTCCCTGAATCCCTGCATTCTAATTAGTTTTCAATGCCTCAATACAGTCATTTCAGGATTCAATGGAATTATTATTCTTTTTTATATTTTTGCTTCTTTCACTACCTAATACGATATCTGCTCAAGATAAAGATGGGAAAAATAGATTCAATTAAGTTTAGCCAGCCTTAGGAATTGATTCCATGTAACTTTCCTCGAATATGTACAACACAGAAATGGCCCCTTTTATAAGACTATAGTATAAGTGATGGTGTATGTTAACTATCCTATACTTGTGTTTTAATTACCTACAAACATATAAAGCTCATTTAATCATTTATTTTAATTTTTCATTTTATTCAAAGTTGTTACAGAATTGCTAACATTTCCATAAAATAATTACTATACTTCAGTTACAGAAAATACCACAGAAAGGAATATACTTCGAAAGAAATGTAGTTCATCTTAAAGTTTCCAAATATTTTTGAAGGCTAATGCAGCAGCTGATAAAATAACACACAGTACACAAAGAACAGTGTATTTTAGTGTCAGTAATGCAAACTGACAGCTCTATAGCAGATATGCTTCATTTTTTTTCAAACAATAACATTTTCAAAAACACATGAAACCAAGATCATATATGTCTGCAATTTTTAAAATTCAGATTGTACACAGTAGGTTAGAAGAGACAAGTTAGAATTGTCATGATTTTGACAATCTTAAATCTATAATTTCAACTGTACTCCTTTCAATATAGAAATAACCTGCTTTATACCAAATTTTACTTTCTGCTTGCAACTCAAACATTGTACAATGAGATGGGTCCAATTAGTCAAACCTTAAAATTAAAAAAGCTGCGGACAACAGAGGGTAAACTGGAAATTCATTTCCATGTCATCTTTTAAGCATAAGTTATGCTATACTGAAAGTGTGTACAGTCATTTCAGTACTGGAATTTGTCACTTGACAGAATGGTCTGTGGACCACAGTATTCTAAACTGTACCTGAGGGATGGGCACAATATGCTAATGTTACCTCAAACACAGCCTTCGGTTAGTCTCATAATTCATTATCTAAATGACTAGCCCAGAACATGGTATTTTCATGTCTGAAAAAATCAGCAGTTGTACTTATGTAAACTCTTTTTGAAATGAAATACATTTTTAAACTCACAAATACTCATGGTGAAGTTTTTTTAAAGGTCTAATTTACTAAATCACCTGTTTTAGAAATTAATGGTTTTATTTCTGGATTTATTTGCATAGGTTCACACTGATCCACTTATATACTTTTCCTATTTACTTTTTATAGTTTTTATATAGTTTAAACATTTGAAAATGCTCTAAAATATTTGTTAAGGGATAACAAGCAACTGGAAAAATATTTGCTTAAAAATGTGGCAAAAGGTTTGAGTCAAATCTATAAGACAAGTATTAAAAGCTGAAGAGACAAAATTATGCAGCGGGGGAGCTCAAGCTTACTGGTAATAAAGAAATAGAGATTGAGGAATATACAATTTTATGTTGCCAATTACATTAGAAAATATTTTGAAGACATGCCCCTAATTTCTCTGAATAATGTGGATCCAATAAAATGTAACCTTATAAATGTATCTAAATGCTCACACTTATACCATTTATATAACTTGCAGAACATTCACCTCATAGGTATAAAGTCAGGAGGAGGAGGTGGATTATAAACATTGCTTATTGTCACCATTTTCCATGGAAGGTTTCAAGGGAAAGACAATGCCACTCCTGAGATGATGTCATGCAACATTAGGTAGATATTTAGGTGGATAGTTAAATTCCAGGATAGTCAGAGAAAGTTTGGTTTCCTTCAAAGAACTGCTACATTATACATAAGAAGTCATAAAGGAAAGGAAGAATGGGAAGAAGTCTCAAGACTACTGTCTGCCTGTCTGTCTCTCTCAGTCTGATTCAAGCCGCTCATTTCAGAGATGAGGAAGCTGAGGCTCAGGGAGCTGCAGAGATTTATTTGATTTTGCTCAGCTAATTAGCAGAGTAAGGTTCTACCCTTCTGAGTAATCTGCCCGTAGTAGGTACATAATAAATATTTGTTCAGTCAATATCCATCCTCAGTCTAATATGGCACTCTCTTTGCCTAGTCTTTGAAGAGATGACTGATTCTAACACCTGCTTCACAGGGGGGTTATAAGCAATAATTCAGACATTTTGAGTTAATTAGAAAATAAAAGTATTAGCAATGATTATTCTACAAAAGCTCACCAGTACTTAACTTATTACTATTATTTCTGAGATAGAGTCTTACTCTGTCACCCAAGCTGAAATGCAGTGGCACAATCATGGCTCACTGCAGCCTCAACCTCCCTGGACTCAGGTGAACCTCTTGACTCAGCCTCCCAAGTAGCTGGGACTACAAGTACATGCCACCATGCCAGCTAATTTTTCTATTTTTTGTGGAGATGGAGTTTCTCCATGTTGCCCAGACTGGTCTTCAACTCCTGTGCTTAAGCAATCTGCCCACCTCAGCCTCCCCAAAGTGTGAGATTACAGGTGTGAGCCTTCCCTTTACAATTAAAACTTTTTGCAAAAGATGCAAGGCAAGGATGTTAAAAACAATGCACCGATTGATTAATTTGGCTCTAAAAGTGATGGAACCTAAGTGATGGCCAAAAGAAACCACTGGGCAAATCATCCTGTTGAACTTATAACTGGTTTCTAATCTGGTTGCTTATCATAATCACCTGAAAAGCTTGTTGAAAAATACAAATACTCGGACCCCACCTCAAACCTACTCAATCACAATCTATAGGTCTTATAAAAACATATTTTCCAAATATTCTTTGAGATATTTTGATGCAATCAGATCTGGGAACCACTGTTCTTGTCAATGACATATTCCGTAAGAGTTTTGCCTTACAAGAACTTTTGAGAAGTTCAGCCACTGTGTGGAATCATAACCAAATGTCTACCTACAGGCTGGTATTATTTTACTATTAATAAGGAGGGAAAGCAGGAAATCCAAAAGAAAATGTCAGCTTAGGGTGGTGTAATGAAAAAGTATGTGTTATATGCTACTCCTGGCTTTGTCACAAGCTAGCTACGATGATTTGAATGTATGTGTCCCTCCAAATTCAAATGCTGGAACTTAACTTCCAAGGTCATGGTATTAAGAGGTAGGGTCTTGGGAAAATGATTAAATCAGGAAGATTATGCCCTCATGAATAGATTAGTGCCGTTATAAAAGGGCTGGAGGGAAGTAGCTAGGCCCTTTCTGCCCTTCTGCCTTCCTCCATGTGAGGACACCACCTTCATCCCTATTTGCCCTTCCCTCTTCTGCCTTTTCTGCCATGTGAGGGTACCATGAGAAAGTGCTACCTATGGAACAGGCCCTCACCAAATACTGAATTGAATCTGCTGGCATCATAATCTTGGACTTCCCAGCCTCTAGAACTGTGAGAAATAAATTTCTATTCTTCATAAATAACCTAGTTTTTGGCATTTTGTTATAGCATCACAAATGGACTAAGACACCAGCTATGGAGCCTTGAAAAAATCATTCCCCATCACTGGACCCCCAAATCCCTCCTCTATGGAGGAAGTAGAGTTTATTTTAACAACCATGAGATACATCTCATGGTTGTTTGAATCTCATGATTGTTGAGATTCAACCATTTACCACTTAGAGTGAACAGAGAAGAACCTGCTAGGGATTAAAGCTGGGAGTTTCTTCCATGTAAAGTTTATATGCAAACCATGAGATTGTTGAATCACATGGTTGTTCAAATAAACAAATCTGTGTGCACAGGTAGGAACTCATTCTGCAGCCTTTTCCCCACGTCTAAAGTCATTAGAGTAACTCCCAAAGCAAGGGCTGCTAATGGGTTAGCTGTTTAATTTTTTTAATTACATTCAGAGAAAAGTCTAAATTTTGGTGTATGTATTGGACCTCTTTAAAAGCTAGCAAAGTATTTAGGGCTACCGTGAGGCATCCCTCCAACAGCCAAATAACTCTGATGTTAAAAGGCTTACCTCTCTGGGTGAGACTTTATTTGGACAAAGGATTCCAAAACAAAACAAAACAAAACAAATATACCATGACAGAAAGAGAAAAGGAGAAAGAAAGAAAAAGCCACTGCCCTAAAATAAATTTTATACTAGGGAGCTTTCAGATAAGGAAACATCAGAACTGTGTCCCAGATAATAAGTATGGGTACTTTCATGTACACATGTTGCTACAGGTTAAAACACACTTTTTAGAAAGTCCATGTCAGACAATCTTAGAAAAGGATTATGGCCTTGCAAGGGGACTGAGATTCAGTTTCTACAGCTTTTTTCACAGTGAATATTTTCTGTGACTTTTTCTCCAACCATCTCACTGGGAAATCCTACCTCTTAACCACTGTAAAATAAATACAAACACGTAAAATTAAATTTGTATATGCACACAGGCAAGGGATAGGTCTGTAGCAAAATACAAAATGTTGGTTTGTTGGAATTTTGAGAATATTTATGAAACACTGTGCTTTTCCTCATGTTATTCTACTATTGTCAGTGCAAAAACACAATATAAGGCTAACTTTTAAATCTATTTTTCAGTTATAAATCCTTACCTTTCTTCTTTATGAAGCTTAGCAAGTCGATCGGCTTTCCGGGCAAGAATGAAGCTGGAGAAAGAGGTTACATTGAATAATCAGGTTACAGCTGTTCATCTTAAGAGCTGCCCTTCCTTTTTGAAGTATTCTTGACCTGTACCTATTCAGCATTAAATGAACTCTATCAGACCCTCTTCCTCACTAGAGCAAATGCCATGTTGTCTTTGGTCTGCCTATGTGTCCAAAACCGCTGCTAGGCTCTGTTCTCCTACATGACAGGTGACTTCCTATTCGGTATTTTACTTCTAAAGTTAACATGGTTTTTGGCATACCATAGGAAATCAAATATGAATGAATTAATGTTGCACTAAATGATTATTCTGGTAATGACTGTTGCCCTCCGCCAAATACTTTATAAAGCTGGAAAAAACAAATGTAAACATGTGTCTGTAGTGGAGACCATGGTGGGCTCCCCAGGCCTCCCTTTAGGACCAGGCACTCCTTACTCTTTAGCTCACAGCTGAAACCTTCCCCAGTAATTAGATGGGGCAGCAGAGGATGCCTCGCTCAAGGTCCCACCCCTCCCCAGAGTTGTCCTGATCTAGGCTGTTGAAGGCAACTCTGAAGAGCCACCCAGCTCCAGAACTTCCAAGGAGGCCTTTGTTGGGACAACACTGGAGCTCAAGTTCTGCTTCATCCTTCTGCCATAGGTGGTCATCCTCAGAGCACTGTCCAATAAATCTCCAGCACCTGAGTCTCCAGATCTGAGTCAGCTTCCCTGGAAACTGACCTAATATAGTCCCCAAATAAAGTAACTCAATAAAACTCAGTTGTAACCTGCCTGCTCCCCTTTAATCAAATAGATTCTATTTATTATACTCATATTGCTAACTGCATGTATATTTGAAAGAACTGAATTGTGACATGAAGTCCTTAGTTATCCTATTATAAGAAAGCTTTCAACAATCCAAATGAGCTAAAGGACAATGAAATTACTTTTCCATTAAAAAAGTTTTAAATTTGTATTTCTTTTATTCAAGACCAAAAGGACAAGTAGATCAGTGCAAAAAAAAGATACTTCCTTCTCTCCCTACCCCCAAATTAAAGTGTTTCGCAAATTGGATTGGCAGTTCCTTTACAACTGTTATTTGAGATCACTCTGGGAAGCAAAGATGTATGTTAATGCAGAGAACAGTAATTCAGAGAAAGCTGTGGACTATTTAGGAAATTTGAACTATTGAACTTTATGGGATATAGTCATAATTTTGTATGATTTAATATCTTAAGTTACAGCTTGTATTAATTATTTAAGTTAGATTTTGGGCTTATGCAAGAATCAGTAAGTTTAGATGTGTGTAGCATTTTTTAATCATCAATATCTGATAAAAGATTAAATTATTTATATGTAAACATTAGTCAACTCGTCTTGTATGCTTTTTACAATTCCCTTCCCAAAGGGCGGTTAGTGTTGGTTATTTCTGTGAAGTCTCAAGTCATGAATGAAATAATCTCTTTGATCTAATCCCAACTATGGATAAATAAGCTTTAACTTACTTTGGTGTTTTATTGAGGAAATTAAATATGCTGGCTTTGTGTTGGAAACATTTCACACTTTTATAGTAGACGGTCCTTTCTAGTTTCCAAAAGGTTACTACAAACACAGTGCTGGGCAATTACCACCCCTATCTTCAAGATGTTCGTGGCTGTGGCCATGAGCAAAGAGACGGGTAGGGGCAAGTATCCAGATAGAAGGGATTAGAATATCACTTTCTAGGAATCGTCTACATAACTCCATTAACTCCTGGAAGGTTATTAGAGCCCTGAATAACCTAGTTACTAATAAAGCTGAAGAAAGCCCAAAAGCACTGTACACATAAAAACTTGCACCCACAACCAGTGCTCAGTAAATGGTAGCTTTAATTTTTAACACCTCATCACCAAGTTAAGAAACAGATTATTTTGCTATTCCTCAGTTTCAAGGAAACTCTTTTCTTCTATACTTGGTTCTCTCTAACCAATTATTACTATTTCATATTTGTTTTGGCCCCACTGTCCACAGAACACAACTGTTTAACATTTTCCTTTTATACTATTTATCTTAAGTAAAATCGTTAAAATATTGAGTTCCATTTTCAAAAAAGAAGAAAGCACCAAACGGCAGAAGACATCACTACATCTAACTTCCAGGGCAAGAAAAACATCAATGCTCTTCCATTCATAGTTGGATTGGTCTTAACTGACATTCTCCTGAAACCTGTACCTGAATCTCCTGCTTTTCTCTGGTATATAGAAGGTGATGTCAAACCACCCAAACAATCTATGTCCTTTCTTGCCCAATGGAGTTAAAGAGGATGTGTTATTCCAATGGTCATTACGTTGTAAGCACCTGCCTTTCTCAGGGAGGCTGGTGTCTTTCTTACATGTTACAATGAGAGAAGTAGTTATAAGATATCTCATTAGTAACCCAGTAGCACAACCTGCTTTCTAAGGCCCCTGGGATGTGGGTCTGCTCCTTTTGTCTTTGTAATTTTCCTTTAATGTCATGATATGTATGAGTTCACCGTTCCTTTTGACCAAGAGGTAAGCATTTTCCAGGGGTAAAGGGGAGACTACTGGTTTCTAAGAGTCACTTGATTGCCACTGAAGCTATGTTCTTTTGTTACAGTGTGGTAGAATAAATCGCCTTTTATTTGTATAGTTTTTGAGGAGGCCAAAAGGGAGGAGGTGACAGGGAGGCTGTGGAACTCCTTAGCAATTCCTTTGTGGAGACCCCACTTCCTTCTCTGGACTCCTACCCCTCACCACGTAAGCCAGCTGTGTACAGAAATGGGAAAAGAAGCGAAGAGCTCTCATTTTCCCTACACAGAACCAGGCTCTGGACCATCTGCACACTTTGGAGGTTAAGTGAAGCACCACTGGTGAAGGATAACTAGAGTGACCCACCAGAAAAACTGCCATGCCATCCACTCAAGGCCTGGCTCAACTCTGAACTGTGCCTCTTAATTGGTCAGCTATCTTATATCTCAGGGTAATAACTAACATTTGTTATGTAGCAGATATCTGTAATGGAGAAAAAGATGAAACCCAGAAACCCTGCATTTAGATTTTTTTAATAGGAAAAAGCAATTAGTTCTCATTTCAGAATGGCTGTGGATATTCTGCCTCTAGGTAGGGTTGGCTACCATATTGCTTGCTTAGCTGTTTTTTTTTTTTCACTCCATCCTCAACATGTAAGTGCTATGAGAGAAAGAAATACATGGGGCACAAGTTCAAAATGGTGCCAATTTTAGTAAAGTTTCCCGGTATTCTTGTGCCACACATAACACATTACTATAATATTTTAATACATGGAAACATTATATATTTCGATAGCATTATTCATCATTGCTTGAGCTTAATTCCAAAGTAATATGCTTTGACAGCATCCACACCAATACATCAACACAATTTGGAAAATGCAGAACAGCCAGCTTTAACTTACCCCATGATGGCAGGCAGTGAGCCGTCTGGCTTGGTGTCATCCAAGGTTATTGAAATTGGAGCCTGTTCATCCTCAATGATCATACAACCACAATAATCTTAACCGAGAGAAAAATCAATAGGAGATCGAGACCAAGCTCATCAGAGATACCCATACATACATAAATATACATAAACTATTTTTTTAAGAGGAAGGCAAATCTTAAACTCTTGATCTTAGCCCCATCTCTAGATGCTATGTCTTGTTAAATACACACACCAAATATATAAGGATGTCTATTCACCCACAGATAGAAAATGACCCATCTCCATCACCTTTACATAAAGGGCTTATGACCAACCAATGCATGACAAAAATGGTAAGATGACCCTGGCTCCTAGCATACATGAGGAAAGAGAAGGGATGTGTTGGAGGGAACCACCCCAACAATCCAGCGAAGAGGTGGCAGAAGAGAATTTGATGAGTATAAGCAGAATGCTTATGAACAGTAGCCACCATATCTGGGAAGCTTTCTAAGTCTGAGACCCCACCTCATTTAATTCTCACAACACCTTAATGGTAGGTATTATTGTCATCACTTTACACCTACAGACTGATGCTAGCAAGCAAGTGAAGTCCTGGAATGTGCGACTTCAATGCGGTGTTCTTTCCAGGGTGACTGTTGACCTCACTCTGCTCATAAAAAGTAAGCAGCAGGACAGATGCCAGGAGCCAGGGCAATGGTGGCCTTATGAATGATATGATCTCCTTGTTCCCTCCCATTGCCAACAAATGCTCTTGGGGTCATTATGTGTGGCCAGGGATATGAGGAAATTGACAGACCAAGATTTCTAATCCTTTTTATATCAATTTGAGAATACTTTTTTTCCGTTCAGGACCTTCAGTTCAATAATCCTAAAAGCGTATCATTTCTTCATATAATACAGTTTAAACATGAATAATAGCAGCCTACCCTTCTTCTTCCAGAAAGCCTCCCTGTAATACATCATGCACTTAATGACAGCTCCCATTGGAAGACGCTGAATTAACTGGTTCCTCTCTGGTGGAAGCTCTGGTCTGAAGTGAATTTTGGCGGTCAAAGTCGGGGGGATCGCACTAATTACGTATTTGCACTAAAACACATACAAGCAAATATTAGCTCAGAAGTCTTTGTAGAAGGCATGAAAACTCATCTTTATCACTTTTAAACAACATTGAGCAATGAATACACACAAAATGAGAAAATGAGGCAGCTGTGAGACAACAAAACAGATCAAGGTAAGTCAACCAAGGCTAGTAATTTGGAAGATTGAGGCAGAAACATGTCAGCATTAAATATGCTACTGCTTGAATTATATCTGATTAGAAGCTACAGAAGACACAAGGGCTATGTACTATATGCTCCTTTTGACTAAACAGAGTTACCTCATAATGTTCGTGGTTCAATGTCTCTATGATGACATTGTCACTTGATTGGTCAACATGAGTGACAGGATGGTTTAGCTTCACTCGGTGCCCGAGGCGGTCCATTATCCGTTCGCTCACTTGACCAGATCCACCTACAAACTTCCGTTCCTACAGGAGGAGGTAGGTAGGAAAGGAAACGTTATGACAGCCCAAGGAAGGAAAACCCTATTTGCTACTGATTAGAAAACCTCTAGAAAGTCATAGGCCACACCTCCAATGTTCACACATTTAACTGTCTGAAGAATTCATCAGGACAGAGGCAGAGTTGGCCAAGACAATTCAATGCTCATTCCCTGCACAAGCTTCCAGCCAGGAAAAGCCATTACAAGTTTATAAAAATCACAGAATGAGAAGAAATGCTCCACTATGCCAATGCTGCCCTGACCAGGTGGGAGTATCAGCAAAGTCTGTCAATATCAGCAAGAAATGCTCCACTATGCCAATGCTGCCCTGACCAAATGGGAATATCAGCTTCAAATGGCCAAGAATGCAAGGTGTGGATGGAGCCCTGGGAAGGGTAGGGCACTGTGCTTATTCCACAGGATGAAGTTTCTAATTTCCTTTGATTCCTCTCATTCTGGGCTGTGGTTGTCCAGGCAGGTAAGGATGCAGATGGTGCCATATTATAGATAGTTACAGGGTGCTTTTAGGGATAGTCATGTCCGACTAGTCACCACCAAATGATGTTTCTAAGAACTGGAAAACGGGCCAGATGTGGTGGCTCACATCCGTAATCCCAGGACTTTGGGAGGCCAAGGCAGGTGGATCACCTGAGGTCAGGAGTTCAAGACCAGTTTGGCCAACATGGTGAAGCCCCATCTCTACTAAAACTACAAAAATTAGCCAGGCATGGTGGCACATGCCTACAATCCCAGCTACTTGGAAGGCTGAGGCAGGAGAATCACTTGAACCCAGGAGGCAGAGGTTGCAGTGAGCTGAGATTGTGCCACTGCACACTGCACTCCAGCATGGGCAACAGAGCTAGATTCCATCTCAGAAAAAAAAAAAAAAAAGAATTGGAATATTAGATCTTGAGTAACTTTTTGCAAAACTATCTGGAAGTTTCAAGGCGAAGGCAGAGGGTGAAGGCTAAGCATCTGCTTGTTCCTTTAGATATTGTTAAATAGTTCTTTTGGGCAGCCCTCGAGCACCAGAAATGCTCTACCCGCTGCCTTCTGCTATGATCACCATGGAAATGTTTCCAGTTTAATCTGAGAATGTAAGTCCTTAATACAATGCTTTTGGTAAGAAGCAGGGGTATATTTTTAGCCTATTATAGAAGATTCTTTAAATGGTTAGCAGTGCACAGTCCGCCAGTTAACAGATTCCTCAATCATGCTCCTCCAGAAAAATGCATAAACAGTCATGCAATGATTTTTCCACATTTGTAACTGGCTACTCTTTTAATGACACCACCAAAATTCTTTATAAAAAATATTCCTGGCTAGGCATGGTGGCTCATGCCTGTGATCCTAGCACTTTGAGAGGCTGAGGTGGGAGGACTGCTTCAGCCCAGGAAGTAAAGACCAGCCTAGGCAACAAAGTGAGAACCTGTCTCAAAAATTAAATTTAAAAAAGGGGGAAAAATCTCATAGTGGTTCAGACCTAAATTCATGATTTGTCCTTCCTCAAGAAACCTGTAACATTTACCTTATAATCTGGTCAATGTTTTCCAAGAGTTACTTTTAGTGTGGTGGACAGACCATGAACTGTTTCTGTCTTGTTCACTGTTCACCCCTCCAGGTCTAGTATTTGCTGAATTAAATTATATGATAAGTCTAAGTTCTTTATAAAAATGTTGTAATTATGGTTTGAGATTAATCATCTGAATCATACTTTCCAAAAGGTCATGTAGAATTTGGCTAGAAGTATCCTGGCTCCTCTGAATGAAGGACACAAATATCAAATATGAATCAAAATGCCTCAGAAAGTAAAATACTGGCTAAAAGGAGTAAGTGAGCATTTCTGCCTGTAAGTAAAGACATTTAAAAAATGCAACTGTCCTGCATTCGCCAAAGCTAAGGGTCAAATGGGAAATAACTCTTGGTATCATAAGAACTTGGGGATTTCCAGTGATCTCCTCAGGAGAGGAATAATTCACTTGGCAGAGAAAGACTCCACCCTGTACTGTGCACTCAGAATTCTGTAACTCAGAGAACCTAAGTTAGAAGCAAATTGCTACTAATTAAACCTCATACCATCCAAGTATAACATTTCTAGAACAGAGATACCCATTCCCTTTGGATAACATAAATGGTTGAAATAGAGAATCTCAGAATCTGGGGAATTAGGATTCTGGCTTCGCCACTGGTTTGCCATGTGTCCAGCCAATGAGCCAAATGAGTTCATTTATTAATAAAGGAAATGATATGGAAACTGGGCAAAAGCAAGTGGGCAGCAAAAATGAAGAATCCAAAAGGCATAATTTACTACTGCAAGAGAGGCCATAATCACTTGTGTGAATTAGAAGGAAGAACAGTCACTTCCATTCTGTAAAAATTAACATAAAAGAATAACTCAGATAAACAGATGGGACAGAAGGCTTATGTCTGGAACAGAGATGACTTTAAGTATAATAACTGCACAATTTCTAGAATTTTTTGGAAATTACTTAATATTAGGAATTTAGCTTCTACTACTTAAGCAGCCTAATTTTACCTGCCATCAAAAGGAAGGAACTTAATTCCCAAAAACAAACCAATTCAAAATGAAACATTATTTATCTGAGAACTCCTTTGTAGGAATGAAAAAAATGAAATGAGAAACTGGTTCTTTTTTTGCAGAAAAGATTTTGAGATCATTTCACACTGCTAATTATTCATGCTTCAAAATACTGCAGCAATTACTAAAGACGCTGCCCCAGGAGAAAGCAAAATCCCAGATGAAGCGCTTATTTCAGAACAGACACACACACCATACCTGGCCGCCATTGGTGACAGAGAATATCCGAGTGGTGCCCCCGCACTGCTTCACATACCATAAAAACCATAGAACTGATACCTCATGAGGCTCAGAGGTTACATTGATATTCACAAAAAGAGAAGCAAAACGCCTAGCAGTCCTGTTCACAGAACAAAAGTAGAAGTCAGGTGTCAAGATGTAAAGGAATCAGAGAATGTCATGTTTTTAAAACACTATTTAGTATGTTCAGAAAGTATTTCTATTGCAATTGGGAAAAAAACCCTCAAAGATTCAATTTCTGAAGGAATGCATTTAATAACTCTTGAAGAGATTAAAGTTTTCTCCTGCTATTAAGAAATTATGAGTTCGCTCCAAATATGCTAATCCAGGTTCTCTCTAAGGGTCAGTTTCAACACCCATCCTCTCCTCTCCATCTTCATTGCCATACCCCTGGTCCAGACTACCAATATGTCCTGGTGGTTCCTACTTGGTCATCCTATATCATCTCTTGTATCCTCCACACCACAGCCAATGAGGTCTTTTAAAAGTGCCAAACTCAAAAAATCATCTGCTTAAAACCCTTCAATGACCTTCAATGGAGAAAGGACAAATCTTGAATGTGGCCGATAGATCCTGCACTATCAGGCTCTAGACCAGTCCTCCAAACTCCCCTTACACCACTTGCTCTTGTCATCAATATGGTCCAGCTACACTGTCCAATCAGTTGCTCAAAAATGCCAACATGCTTCTCACTTCAAGGCCTTCACAAAAGCTCCTCCCTGTCTCCTCTGCCTGGATGATCCATCACTGTATATCATCCACCCGTCCCTGTCTCCCCACTTCCCTGTGAACTTTGGGTCATTCTTGAAAGATACCATTCTCCACACATCATCCAATCTTTCCTGTCTCTTTGCGTACCTGTGGGTAATTTCTGGAAGGCAGTATCCTGCCATACACCATTGACTCTTCCTGTCTACCTGCTACTCCTCTGGTTCAGTTCTGGATGGTACCATTGCCCCCAAAACATACACTTTTCCCTACCTCCCCTCAGCAGTTGTGTCTCATTCCTAGAAGACAATACTCTTGCAACTCATTTCTATCTTCTCATGTTCCCACTAACTCTGAGAGTCATGCCTAGTAGATATCATCTGCCTACACCACTCAATCTTCCTATCGCCACCCTAAAACTATGGGTGATTTTAGGATATCATTACCTCCCCACAACCCCAACAACAAATTCAACCTTCACCATCTCTTCCAGAGCTTGTGTCACATTCACGGAAGATATAATTCCCCCAATACTGACCAATCTCCCCAATCTCCCCCTTGCACCTGTGGGCCATTACTGGAAGATATCATCCCCTCCACACCATCTACTCTTGCTGTCTTCCCTCTAAACCTATGGCTAATTCCTGGAATATACCACATACCAACACCATCTAATCATAATGTCTTCCCTCAAGCCCTCGTGGCTCATTCCTGTAAGATGTATCTTGCTACAGCATTCCTGTATTCCTGTCTCCCCCAGTCCCTCCTATGTCATTCGTGAATACCACCCTCCCACAACATCCTTCCTGTCTCTCCTACCACTACCTGTATGGTTCATTCCTAGAAGATACTATCTCTCTAAACCCCTGTCTCCCCCATATCCTTGTGGTCTTTCCTAGAAGATACCATCATTCCACACCACCTACTCTTTTTGTTTCCCCAGCCACCATACCTGTGGTTCTCTCCAAAGCCTATCCATGCTGTCTCCCGCTTCTCCTGTGGGTCCTTCCTAGAAGACACCATCTCCCCACACCACCCACCTTTCCTGGCTCCCCTAGTCACCACCTGTGTGGTTCATTCCTAGAAGATACCATATTGCCACACCATCCAGCCTATTTCCCCCTTACTCCTGAGTCATATCTGGATGATACCATCCCCTCCCTAAGGCATCTACCCTTCCCTGTCTCCCCACAGTGCTTGTGCCATGGTCCTGAAAGATACTATACCCCTACACAAAACCATCCACTCCTCCCTGTCATTCTGTTAGATATCATCCCCAGTCCCGTGTCCCCCTAAAGCACCACCAGTGTGGTTCATTCCTGGAAGATACCATGCTGCCACACCATCCACACTTTCTGTATCCCCCGGAACTCTAACCACCCTTGTGGCAGATTGCTGGAAGATACCATCTCTTAAATCCAATGTACTGTTACCTACTGCCTCTGTGGGTCACACTAGGAAGATACCATCCACATCCACCTTCCATCCTGTCTCCACCCCCACTACCGCAAGTGTGGCTCATTCCTGGAAGATACCATCCTGTCACACCCACCCCCACTACCGCAAGTGTGGCTCATTCCTGGAAGATACCATCCTGTCACACCCACCCCCACTACCGCAAGTGTGGCTCATTCCTGGAAGATACCATCCTGTCACACCTACCCCCACTACCGCAAGTGTGGCTCATTCCTGGAAGATACCATCCTGTCACACCGTGCAACCTTTGTATTTTCCCCCTACCCCTCTGGGTCATTTTGAGATGATATCACCACATCTCCCCTTCCCTGTTACCCACAGTGACTTATACCACATTCCTGAAAGATACTATCACATCCAGCCCAACACTTCCACCTTGCCTTGTCTACTCCTTTGGGTTATCCAGGAAGATGCCATCTCCACATACCTCTTCCTGTGTTCCCCCCCAAGCACCACCGGGGTGGGTTGTTCCTGGAAGACACCATCTCTCAAAACACAATCCACCCTGTATCCCTCTGCCCCTTTGGGTCATCCCTGGAAGATACCATCATGGTCACCTTCCACACTTCCTGTCTCCTCCCACTCCTCTGGGTCATAGATGGAAGTTATCTCCCCCACCACTCCCAACTCTTTGGGTCACTCCAGGAAAAACCATTCCTGCCAACAAGCCAATGTTCTCTGCATCCCCTGGATCCTGTGGACCATTCCTGGGCAGTACCATTCCACCTCACCATCCACTTTTCAAGTTTCCCTACTGTCCCCGTGACTCATTCCTGAAAAATATACCCTGCCACACCAGTCATGCTTCATCTCCCTGTCCTGTCCCTCTGAGTCATTTCACAATGATACCATGCCAGCCAGCATCCCCCTGATGGTCTCCTCCACCACCCACAGTGTTCCTCATTCCTGGAAGATAGCATCCTGTCACACCATACAACTGTCCTATCTCCTCACTACCCCTCTGATCATTTCAGGATGATGCCACACCCTCCCCATCTTCTAGGCTTCCCTGTTTCCCTGCAGAGCCTTTGTCACATTCCTGATGTGACCCCCCCCAACATTAATCCTCTGGCTCATTCAATTATGAAATCATCCCCCCATATTTCTGCCCTTCCTGTTTTCCCCCACCACTACCCGAGTGTCTCATTCCTGGAAGATACCATCTCTCTAAACCCAATGTACCCGTCTCCCCTGCCTCTGTGAATCATTCTTGGAAGATACCATCCATCCATACCTTCTGCCACCCCCACCACTGTCATTTTGGCTCATTCCTGGAAGATGCCACCCTGCCACACCATCTAATCATTCTATTTCCTTGTTATCCTCTTGGTTATTTGGGGATGATACCACCTTCTTCCTAAAACATCTACCCTTCCCTGCCTCTCTGCAGTGCTTGTGTCACACCCTGAAAGATACTGTATACCCCTTATATTCCTTATATTATCCAGTCTGCCTTGTCTCCTCCTTGGCTCTGTGGGTTATCCTGGAAGATACCATCTCCCTACCTCATCCATCATTCCCCCCTCCCCAAATTCTGTAGTTCATTACTGGAACATACCATCTCTTCTACTGTATCCATCCTTCCTATCTACCTTCTGCCCTGTGGGTCATTCCTGTAAAATAACATTCAGTCAAACTATCTACCCTACCAGTCTTCTCCAGAACCCAGTGGGTCATTCCTGGAAGACACCATGCCCCCCACGACCCCACCAGTGTGGTTCAATCCTGGAAGGTATCATTCTGCCGCACCATCCTGTCTCCCCCATCCCTCTGGGTCATTGCTGTAAGTTATCTCCATCCACAACGTCTACCCTTCAGTTTTCCCCCATAACCCTGTGGGTCATTTCTGGAAGATTTCATTCCGTCAAATAATCTACCCTGTCTTCTCCCACACCTGTGGCTCATTCCCATAAGATATGTCCTACCACACCAGTCAGGCTTCCTGTCTCTCCCCTCTTCCTCTGGGACATTCTTGAATGATATCATCCCAGCTAACATCCACCTTTCTTATCTCTTTCTGCCACCACCAGTGTGGCTCATTTCTGGAAGATATCATCCTGACACATCATGCAACTGTCCTATTTCCCCACTATTCCTTTGGGTCATTTTGGTATCACCCCCTCACAAAACATCTACCCTTCCCTGTTTCTCCCGAGAGACTTAGTCACATTCCTGAAAGTGATAGCCCCCTCAACACTTTCCACCCTGCCCTATTTCCCGCTACCCCTGAGGATTATCCTGGAAGATACCATTTCCCCTACCGTCACTCATCTTACTCTCCCAACCTTGTGGGTCACACCTGGAAAATATCATCCTGCCTCACCTTCGCCACTTCCTGTCTCCCCCACCCTTCTGTGTCATTACTGGAATTTATTCCCAACAACATCCCCCCTTATGGTCTCCCCACAACCTTTTGAATTGCTCCAGGAAGATACCATGTCCCTAGTCAGGCCAACATTCCCTGTGTCCCCTTAGCCTATATGCAGCATTCCTTGAAAATATATCCTGTCACACCATTCATGATTCCTAACTCCCTACTAACCCCTTTGGTTCATTCCTGTACAATATCATCCCCAGTATCCACCCTTCCTGTCTCCCCTCACCACTACCCTTTTGGCACATTCCTGGAAGATACCATCTGCCTAAACTTCTTTCCCTGACTTCTCTGGGTCATTCCTGGAAGATACCATCCACATACACCCTTACTGTCTCCCACCCCCACCACTGTCACTGTGGCTCATTCCTGGAAGATACCATCCTGCCATTCAACTATCACATCTCTACTCTACCACTCTGGGTCATTTGGGGATACTACTCCCTTACCAACACATGTACCCTTTCCTGCCTCCCTGCATTGCCTGGGTCATATTCCTGGAAGATACTAACACCCCTTACATTATCCACTCTGCCTTGTCTTGGCCCTATGGGCCATCCTAGCAGATCCCATCCACCTAGCTCATCCATCATCCCCCTCCTTCCTCAATCTTGTAGTTCATTCCTGGAAGATACCATTTCCTCCATACCATCCACCCTTTATATCTACCCCCTGCCCTGTGGCTCATTCCTATAAAATACCATTCTATGAAACCATCTACCTACCTGTCTCACCCCTACTTCTGTGGCTCATTCCTGGAAAATAACATCCTCCTACATGGTCCATCTTTCCTGTTTACTTAACCCCACACATTCTGAAGACCATTCTTAGAAAATACCATCCTGCCTCACTATCTTTATTTCCTATCTCCCCCGACCCCTTTGAGTCATTACTGAAAGACATTCCCCTCCACAACCTTTACCCTCAAGTCACCCCCATCCCCCTGTGGCTCCTTCCTGGAAGATACCATCCTGGTACACCTTTCTAAACCCTCTGGGTCATTTTGGGATGATACCACCTCCTCCACAAAACATCCACCCTTCTCTGAGTCCCCAGAGTGTCTGTGTCACATTCCTAAAAAGTAACATCCCCTCCCCTCAGAAACACATTATACACCCTGACCTATCTCCCCCTTGGCCTTGTGGGTCATCCTGGAAGATACCATCCCTACCCTTTCCGTGTTCCCCTCAAACACCACCAGGGTGGCTCATTCCTGGAAGAGTCCATCTCTCTAAATACAATCTACCATGTTTTCTTCTGCCCCTTTGATTCATTCCTGGAAGATACCACCCCACTAAATTATCTATCCTAGTTGTCTCTCCCAATTCTTGAAGGTCATTCCTGGAAATACCATCCTGGTCACCTTCCACACTTCCCGTCTCCTCCTACCTCTCTGGGTCATTGACGGAAGTTATCCCTCCTCCCGAAATATCTACCCTTTCTGTCTCACCCCTGACCCGTTGGGTCACTCCAGGAAGAACCATGCCTGCAAACAAGCCCACTTTTCTTGCATCCCCTAGCTCATGTGGACCATTCCTGGAAGGTATATCCTGCCACACCAGTCATGCTTCCTCTCTCTGCCCTCTGCCTCTGGGTCATTCCTGTACCACGCTATGAGTCATTATTGGAAGAAACCATGACATCTCACCATCCACCCTTCCTTTCTCTCCCTTACTACTGCCAGTATTGTTTATTCCTGGAAGATACCATCCTGCCACACCACCAAACCTTCCTATGTATCCTCTGCCCTGTGGATCATTCCTGGAAAATTCCATTTTGCCAAATGATCTACACTACCTGTGTCCCCTCTACCACTGTGGGTCATGCCTGGAAGAGACCATCTCCCTCACCCCATCCACCTTTGTATCTGCCCCTTCCCTGTGGATCATTTCTGGAACACATCGTCCTGCCTCACCATCTATGTTTCCTGTCTTCTCACCAACCCTCTGGGTCATTGCTGGAAATTCCCCTTCCCCTAAGATATCTATCCTTCTGGCTTCCCTTTGACCTTTTGGGTAGAAGATACCATCTCTATCCACACAAACCAACCTTCCCTTTCTCTCCCCCAGGGAGAGAGAGAAATAGCTGTAAATTTCATTCTCCCCCTGACCCCACCTCCCCACCACACACAGGCACCATCTAATGTTGCCTGTTTCCCCTTGATCCTGTAGGCCAATCCTGGAAGATACTATAACCCCACAGGGATCCATCCTTGTTCCCCACTCCCTAACACTGTGGGGGTGTTCCTGGAAGATGCAACCAAGTCACACCACTCACTCTTCCTATCTCACCCTTGCCCTTTTTGCTCATTTCTGGAAGACATAACCTGGTAATACCAACTATACTCCCCATTACACCTCCAGGTTGTTGGTGGATGATGTCCCTGCAACATATACCTTTCCTGTCTTCCCTTTACCCCTTTGGGTCATTCATAAAAGATACCATAACACCACATCATCAACCTTTTTGTCTCCCCCATATTCCTAGTAGCTCATTCATGGCAAACACCATCCACTATACTTGTCTCTTCTCTAAACTTGTGAATCATACCTGGAAGGTACTATCTTCCTTCCCCATCAGTCTTCCCTATCTCCCCCTAATCCCTGTGGCTCATTCCCAGACAATAAAATTCCCCAATGCCATCCACCCTTCCAGTCCCCATCTCCCTTGTTTTTGTGGGTCATTCCTAAAACACCATCCATCTTTCTCCATTATCCCTTTCTCCCTTCTTGCCCTGGGGGGTAATTTTTGTAAGATATCATTCCCTCCTCTCACCAACACTGTCCAACCTTCTCTACCTCCCTTTGACACTGTGTGTCATTCTTAGATCATACCATATGCCCCACTACTATCAACCATATGGGTTACCCCTGGAAGCTACCATTTCCACCACACCATCCACCCTTCCTGTCTCTCTCTTGCCCCATGGCTTATTCCTGGCAGATACTATCCCCACAACTTTATCCACTCTTCCTTTCTCTCTCCTGTCCCTGTGTGTAATTCCTGGAAGATACCATCACCCTACATTGTTCAACTGACCCCTGCCCCTGTGGCTCATTTTTAGTTGATACACTTAGTTTCAGATTAAAGATTGCTTCATCAAAGAACGCTTCCTTTACCTTCAGACCATGTAAGGTTCTCCCTATTAAAGGAACTCTCCTAGTTCTTATGTAATTATGTTCAAGGTCAGTGCTTGCTAGAAAAACATAAACTCCATGAGGGTAAGGGCTATTCCTAAGAAGTTCACCCCCCACTCCTCAGAGCCTGGTATGGTGCCTTGACATAGTAGCCTCCACATAAACTAATAATACATGGTCTAATTGAAAAGATTATATAACATATTTTTTACTAGTACAGACTAGCTTTCCCCTCATTTCCTAGTATTCTACATCTATATGAGATTATCTTTTTATTTTATTTCAAGTTCCAGGGTAAATGTGCAGGTTTATTATACAGGTAAATATGTGCCATGGTGGTTTTCTGCACCTGTCAACCCATCACCTAGGTATTAACCCCTACATGCATTAGCTACGTATCCTGATACTCTCCCTCCCCTAACCCCCTGACAGGTGTCAGTGTGTGTTGTTCCCCTCCCTGAGTCTGTGTTCAGCTCCCATTTATGAATGAGAACATGTGGTGTTTGGTTTTCTCTTCCTGTGTTAGTTTGCTGAGGATGATAGCTTCCAGCTTCATCTATGTCCCTGGAAAGGATATGATTTCATTCTTTTTTATGGCTGCATAGTATTCCATGGTGTAAATGTACTATCTTTTCAAACTGCTTTTGTAGGCAACCTTTCCATAATATGAAAACACAATTATTGATTTTATTGATCATATAACACTTTTATTAAAAGAAGTTCTACTTCATTCACCTACTTTTCTTAGTTTTTAGATTCATTTTCTGTTCTAACCTACTTTGAAGTGCTAAAGTGCCCTCAATATTGCTATTAACTGAAAGATTACTATGTTACCTCTTAACTTTTTTTCTGTAAGTTGTTAAGAAAAGCATGGCAGTTCAAGGCAGGATATAAAAGACAAGAAGGGAGGATAAAAAGGAAATTTTGTATGGTCAAATCTACTTACGCTGTCCAGCAGATTTTATCAATGAGCTCTTTCATAGTCATTTTGTCCCATTCGTTAGCATGTGGGGCCTCCCAGGGAGCCTCAGCTGGAATCTGTAGAGAAAGGAAGTCCCCCACTCAGGTGTGACAGTAACTGCTACCTCCTCATGAGGAAGGCCCTCATGAGAACCTCCGAAAATGGGTCTCTTGGTCTCTCTGTTGAAATTTGTGATCGGTATGGAATTCTATATAGAGACAGGGAGTGGGATAGGGTTCTTTGGATTCTGTCCTAATGCCATTGCCAAAACAATACAAATAGTGATAGTATTATGTATGTCTATGCACAAGTTTATATTAATTATTATCATGATGATGATTATCATGATCACTATTATTGAAAGCTAATACCTACTTTATGTCCCAAATTCAAGTTTGAGAGATTGATATTAGAGAGCCTAAGACTAAGTAAAAAAGCTTTGGGTCAGCAAATCCTTCTCTCCTTTACTATCTAAAATGGCATTACAGGCAGACAAACAACTATAAGTAGAGATGCTTGGCAAAAATATGTCATATAAATGCTCAGGAGCATAAAATTGAAGGCACACAGGCATTTGTATAAGAGATTAGGTTGGTATGCTGGTTCCCTTGCTATGAGGTCTTGGGTAAATTACATAATCTTTGGGCACTGATTTTTCCCATTTGTCAAGTAGAAATACTACCAACTTTGCAGAGTTTGGGTACATTGGAAATGATATGCATTGGTGTACAGAGCAATATTCCCTGCAACATGGAAGGATATTAAACAGTTGCCATTGTTATTTCAGTAACTGGTCATGTGCAAACTGAACACACATTTTACCTCCTTTCCCATGTTATCCATAGTTCGCCACAAGTTGTTATAGTCCAAATATGCAATAGGGTTCCATACTGGTGGAAAGGCCCCCCGAAATGGATAGGTTTTCCCCTAGAACATAAAAGCAAACAGAATAAATCCAAAAGGGCAACACCTTAAATTTGAATGGTATTCTAAAACAACAAAAAAGCAACCAACCTAAGACTTTCAAAGTAACCAGACCCTCTACTGTGCCAGAAACATTCCCTTTGGTGGGAACTGAATACATTATACTTATACAGGACCCAATTTAATAAGATGTGCAAAATCTCCCTGGTGCTGTGTTGGCTTGTTTTAATTTACAGGAAATAATAGCTTTAAATGTATTTCTATTTATTTGGAAATTATACATAAATAAAGGTAGCACATCCTAGTATCTAATGCTGGTGCTACGATATTCTCAACTCCTGATTTCCCATCTAATCGCTTGGGAAAACTGTTCCCACTTAGATGAGAGCAGGATGACGACATGGAGGACTGGCTTTAGACCACATATAGGACAGGAATAGCAAAATGGAATATCTCATGCTGTGTTTTCAGGTCTACAAAGGCTTAATAAAGACAGGCTAGATTACAGACTATGCCTGACATAAAGAATCAGATTATTAGCAGTGTAGAATATCAGGCACTTGCCACTGTGGGCTCCTAAGCATCCATTCCCCTTTCCTGGTAGTATCCTGGTTTCTTTCTGGAAAATTGCCTCTCTTCTTCCTCTTTGTATAGCTGTGTAGTGAGGATGGTCCCAGCTACCAGCTTCCATTACAGAAAATGATAGGTTAGATTTTTTTTTTTTTCTCTCTCCACACCCCTACCCCCAGCTCCTGGGATAGCCTGGGTGTAGAGCCTGTTATCTGAGCTTGGCCGGTCACCCTCTAAGATGACTCTGATGATGGAGTGGGTCACCCACGTAGAGAAGAGAGTGGACTGTGGGTTTTCTTTCCCCATGGCCAAGTGCTGAACAGATGCTTCCTGCTACAAAGACCATGGCTATGGTTCCTGCCCCTAACTTGCCAGAGCTCTCATGCTCTCTGCTCATTCTCAAGTGTGGTCCTCCAGCCTCACATCAGTTCTGTGGGTCTTCTCATTTACTTTCAGCAAATTCCCTCTTGTTAGCCTGAGTTGGATTCTATTGCTTGGTACCAAGACCTCTAACATGAAGATGGCTCATTCATTATTAGAAACGATTAACTTCATTTCATTGTGTAACAGCCAAAGTGCTAAGAAAAGCAAGGGTGAGTAGAGGTGAATCCTTAGGAAACAGACTAGAAATGGGTAATTTATAAGACCTTATTTGCCAATTTAATTTCTTTTACTTTAAAAATAAATGTCTTGTAAATCTTCATAAGGTCAAAATCTTTTCTAACGGTATAATTTGCATGATAATTTGATTTTTTTAATTAAAGAAATCACTTGTAGAAAGGCTATTGCATGCACTGCACAATATTGAGAGCTGTGTTGAATTTTTAAAAGGGCTAAAGCAAAACTCTTGACCATCAGGGCAAGGACCCAAGACATAGCAAGCATGTGTATGCACACCTCCTAACTGAGTAAGAATATATGGCAACCATTAAGTGACAGAGAAGTAATTTTCCCTTCCACATAGCAAATTCAAATAACCTTGGCAGACTATGTGATCTGGTTTCTTATCTGAAAATGTTACATTGTAATGCTACAATATAACATTTTGGACTCCAAATCCTTTATCATCATCACCACTATCATCACTAACATTTATTGAGATCCTTCTTCATTCCTGCACTGGCTGAAGCCCTTCATATGCATTATCTCATGCAATGCTTACTCCAACCCTGTGAAGGCAAGCACTGTTGATACTTCCATTTTATCAATGAGGAAACTAAAGCCCAGTGGAAGTAGTTAGTACATCATAGAACAGAAATTTCCTGCTTCCAAAGCCTTTGCTCATAAAAGATGCTTTCTTGCCTCCTATATACCTGATAGAATGTGGAGATGGGTTTCTTCTAGAGGCATTTTTAAACTTCTCAACTTTCTCTTTCCCAAAAGAAAGAGAACTTTAAAATGTAAAACTTACAAATCTTCCACATGTACCTTTTCTGTTTCTAAGAAGTAAAAATAGAGACTAAGAAGCTCCAGGGGTAGAAGATGACTGCTGAGGGAACATAACCAACTTTGGAAAATGCTAATACATACTCAGAGAAGTGAGCAAAGATATTTTACATGGAACACAAAAATAGCAATGGAGAAGAGAGGGGTTGAGGTTAAGAAACAGCTCAGGGGCAGCCTCAGAGCAGCTGGTCCTTGTTGTAATTCCTCCCTTTACTGAAATCTGGAAAAATTGACATTTTCCTCTGTAAAATGTATGTATAGTCAAGGAATAGTCTAATATAAAACTGATCTTTGCTTTGGGAAAAATATTTTATTAAAAAACATAAATATTCTCTGGGAGGCTGAGGCAGGAGAATCGCTTGAACCCGTGAGGCAGAGGTTGTAGTGAGCCGAGATCGCACTACTGCACTCCATCCTGGGTGACAGAGCAAGACTCTGCTGTCTCAAAAAAAAAAAAAAAAGAAAAAGAAAAAGAAAAGAAAACAAGAAGACCATCAAGGCCCATAATGTAAACTTCTTTGCTGTTGATAAAGGCACCAAGTAGATAAAGGATTTCATTAATTAGTTTCACCCCTATCAGTTTCTGACTTCTCTGTTCTCATTTCACAGAAAACCCAAACTTGCTAAAAAGAAATGCACGTATGTGGGGAACACGTTTGCATGTGCAAATCCCTGAAGTAGTGCAGTAGGAGGGCCTGGTCGGTGTCTCTTGGCTGAGTGAGAACTGCCTGACAGTGTGGCCCCTCTCAGTCTCCAAAATATGTTTCTATAGTTTTCTCACCAAAGTTTCAGCAGTTTCTCAATACTAAGCCACTTCTCAGTAAGGAATGCCTTCATGACCTAAAAGGGTGAGGCAGGGGCTCTGGGAATACTTCCAAATGATGACTGCACTTTGAAAAGAAAAGGAAAAAAAATCTAGAGTAATGGTCAAGTTCATTTTGTACCTATACTCTGAAAGCTTGCTAGTTTTCCAAAGTGGCCTTTATCTCTAAAGGGCAGTGTCTTTGATACAGCAGAAATTGTTGATTCAAGCAGAACGCAATGTCCCTGGAACCATGCCCCCAAGCACTTAAATCCCTTTGAGAAATTACATCGTAATAATGGGAGACTATTGCCAGGAGATGGCAGTTTATGGCTCCCACATAATCCTTTATTGTTGGTCCTATAAGATAAGCCAAGTTTATAGTAAGAAAAATAGCATTTCCTGATTGAAACATTGGAGAACTTAATCTCTCTGCACTTTTATATTTTAGTTAAGGAAAAGAAAATCAGCATTATTAGAATACCAGAGGTCACTGGGGAAGCTGCCAAATATACTTGTTTAATCATCTTGAAAATAAAGAGCTATCTTCCAGATTAATTCAGAAACATGTCTGTCCAGCTTATATGAATACCTCAAGACCCTTCTAGTTCCACTGTTTTGTGACAAAGCCTGTAAGAGAAATCTTTTGATGATTTATTTTCTATAGTTTACAACAATGATTTAAATTTTAAAATCATCTAAGAAGAGACCCATTAAATAGGATGGTAGTATTGTGTTGTATTAATAGTTAACAAAAGCATTATATTTCTCTTTCCAAATGTAGGTATCCAAGCTCTCTTCAAACATACATAGCTTCACTCTATCTAGACAAAGCCTCCAAACACTACAGGGAAACATCTTTCCTTTTCATTTGTCATCCTCTTTACATTCTTTTAACAGTCCCACTCAAATGATGCCCTCATTGCCTTCATATGTTTCTGTTTTCTAAAATCTGACTTGTATCCTCAAAAGTCCATGGATGCCCTTTTCTCTGTGTCACCAATGAGCTCCTTTTAGCCAGATATGAAGGGATGTATCCATCCAATTAGCACTTGGCTGCATCTAACACCACCCCATCAGATAGTGCTAGTTGTCCCAAGTCTCAACCTAGTTCAAGACTCCTCCTTCTATGATCCACTGAACCACCCCCTGAGTCTGATCCTTAGCCTTTTCCCTTCCTTCTCCCCACTCCTTTCCCATTTCCCTGGGGAACTCATCCACCTTCAAATTTGTTATTATATTTGTACAGTCTTATGGTTTGCATTTTTCATGCCTCTGCTCCCTCTATGTTTGTGAATACCAAATTATCTATAACCTCTCACACCATTTAAAGGGCTGGCAGCACATTCTTATGTGTTTGCTTATGACCTGGTATTTCATCATATTCTCAGCCTCTGTCTCAAGACTTGTACAACTAACAACTAAAGCAATGGGTACCTGAGTTGTGCATTTCCATCTATGGAAAAAGAGAACTATTAAACTCAGTTATAAATGATGCCATACCATCAACAATGAAGGATTTTATTTTTTTTTCAGACAGGATCTTGCTCTGTCACCCAGGCTGGGGTGCAATAGTGTGATCACAGCTCACCGCAGCCTCAAATTCTCAGGTTTAAGTGATCCTCCTGCCTCAGCCTCCCAAGCAAGCTGGGACTACAGGTGTGTGCCACTATGCACAGCTAACTTTTGTATTTTTATTTCTTTGTAGAGATGGACTTGCACTTTGTTGCTCAGGCTGATATTGAACTCCTGAGCTCAAGTGATCCTCCTGTCTTGGCCTCCCAAAGTGCTGGGATTACAGGCATGAGCCACTATGCCTGGCCCCAATAGTGAAGGGTTTTAAAATAAATTTATGTCATCTTTTCCAAGGGATTCTAGTTATATACAGAAACTACAAACAAAACAGTTAAGATAGAAACAATATGAGTTATTCTGGAGGCTTTTGTGTAATTAAAGAGAATTGACAGAGTTTAAAAAAAAAACAGTTTTCCTGTTTCACAGATGCCATTAACTCAGGAGAAACAGGCAGTTTGAAAAAAGATGAAAATGTCACACTGTGAGGACAAGTAGCTATTTAACAGCTTTGTTAACATACTATTCACATATCCCATAATTCATCCATTTATAGTGTACAATTCAATGGTCTTTGGGATATTCACAGAGTATGCAACCATCATCACATCTC